GAAATCCTTGGACGGCGGTTTGGCGCGTTTCGTCGGGCGCTCCGGGGGGACCCTCCGGCGAAGGTGGTGCCACTGAAGGTGACTCTCAAGCCTGGCGCGCAACCCGTCAAGGCGAAGGCGCGTGTTTACTCTCCCGCAAAAGCTACGGGGTTGACTGGATGCATGGCGGCTCTGGTTGCCATGGGTATGGTCGTACGGACTATCCAGGCGGTCTGGGCGAGCCCGGCTATGGCGGTGCCCAAGCCAGGCCATGCGGGTGAGTATCGTCTGCTGAGTGATTACTCTCGGGCAAATTTACAATGTGAAAAGGTGCCAAACGTAATGCCCAACCAGGAGGCGCGAAATGCTTCGGGAAACTTGATCTGCTGCAAGGGTACTGGCAGATGCCGTTAGCTGAGAGCGCGCGTGAAATTTTTACTATCGTGACACCGGAAGGGCTATTTAAGCCAAAATGCGTCCCGCAAGGGGTGCTCAACGCGACGGGATACTTTCAAGCCGTGATCACGGAAATTCTGCAAGGATTGAACTGTATGGTCTGGGTCGATGACGTTGTATGGTGGGGTATCGACGAGACTGATCTGCTGAACACTTTGGACGAAATTCTTCGGCGTCTGGAGGACAAGGGTATTTTCGCCGCTGCGCAAAAGTGTGTTTTCTTTGATATGAAGATCAAGTGGTGTGGCAAGGTGTACTCCGGTGGATAGGTGGCCCACGATCCTGCGCATCTACAAGGATTGGCCGACATGCGGAGGCCTGAGACGGCAGGAGAATTAATGCAACTTTCGCAGGCGGTTAACTGGTTGCGAACATTGTTGCCGCGGCTGGCGGAGGTGGTGGAACCTCTCCGACGCTTGCTGGAGAAGCACATGGTGTCGGCACCTCGTCGGACAAAGAGGATTGCGTCTAGTCGTGCGATTAAGATCGAGGCGTGGACTGCCGGTATGGCTGGGGCATGGACATCGGCACAGCAATTGGTGGCACATGCGGTGGCGTTGTCACATCCGAAGGAGGGTTTTGCTGTGCTGATGTCTCCCGATGCGTCTGATGAGCATTGGGAAAGTTTCTTGACGCAGGGGCCGCAGGAAGAGCTGGAGCGTGGAGTGTCCGTGGAAGATATGACCCACGAGCCGCTCGCCTTCCTTAGCGGTACGTTCAAGCGCTCTCAAATGAGGTGGGCGACGGTCAACAAAGAAGGCTTTGCCATCGTCAGTACGTGCAAGCGGCTGGACTACCTGCTGTAGGGCGGTGTTAGTGTATACACCGACCACCGCAATCTCGCATACATTTTCAATCATGATGCATGCGTGTCGTCACTGCCGAAGACTACTGCCCAGCGTCTGGAGCAGTGGAAGATGGTGTTAGCGCAATTCCAATATTCTATCATGCACATCTCTGGCGAGAGGAACTGTTGGGGGGACTTGTTTTCGAGGTGGGTAATGTTCCCGCAGTGAAGGTTAGGGCTGTGGCTGTGTTTGCGCCGAGCGAACCTGACGACACGATGCCGTCGAAAGAGATTATTCGTCGAGTTCAGCAGAGTGCGCGTGAACAAGTCAGGACTAGGGCGCATGGAGCGGAGGTTTTCATGGCGCCGCATGGAAAGGCCGTGAAGGATAGATAAGGAATATTTCGAATCAAGGTGAAGGGGCGCGAGGTCATGTGGATTCCTGAAGAGGCCAAAGAACTACAACAACATCTCATGGTCTGCGCTCATATGCGAGGCGCAGGACATCGCGGTACGGTGGCAGCTTTGCAACGATTACAAGAGTACTGCTGCTGGTTTCGCATGGAAAACCAGGTGAAAGAGTTTGTCAAACAGTGCTTGCATTGTGTAGATTCGAGGGCGGGTGAAATGATCCCAAGGCCGCTTGGAGAAACAGTGCATGGTACAAGGCCGGGCGAAGTAATTCATTTTTACTATATGTATGTTGGCCAGAGTGGGCCGTTGAATATCGAAGGCTTGGATGAAGGCGTTGGATTCAAATACACATTAGTAGTGGTATTGGATGATCTCAGCAACTTCGTGTGGTTAGAACCAACGGAGTCGTGCACGGCCGCTCTAGCAGCCAAGATTTTGCTCAACCTGTGTAAGACTTTGGGTGTTCCGCAGATGTGGGTCAACGATACCGCATCGCACTTTAAGGATCAAATCATGAGCAAACTTGAACAAGCTCTGAAGGTAAAGCACAAATTCGCGGTAGCAAATATGCCACGGAGTAGCGGAACAGTAGAACGCATGATCAAAGAAAATGTGCGCTGTTTGAAGGCGGTTTTGCAGAAAGAAAGGCGCGACTTGAGCGAGTGGGTAGATTTGGTCCCGGCTGTACAGTGGGCACTGAATACCGCTTATCGTCGACGTTACGCGAGCACACCGTATCATATCATGTTTGGTAGGGCACCGCGAACTAGTTTTTCCACGCTATTAATAGCTTCTGCGACTGGACAAGATTGGCAAATAGACGTGCTAGATGACGAAGGACTCAAACGAAAGGTGATTGATGTAGTGGCTGTTCAACAAGAAATGCATAAACAGGTGCAGGAAATGGTCAAACATAATCGCGAAAACAACGGGGGCATGCTAGTCGGGGCGAGCTCCTAATTTTGCGGTTGGCGATTTCGTACTCAGGGCGCGGGTGCGTAGACCGGGTTCGACGTCGAAGCTTATGATGACGTAGACCGGTCCATGGAAAGTGGTCGAGGCAAAGAGTAAACACGTATACGGAGTGCAAAACATCATTTCAGGGGACGTACACGACGTTCATGTTGCTCGACTAAGGTTTTTTCGGATAGCGAGTTAGAAGCGACTTCCGAGTTGAAGCATGTTTTTCAGCATGCGTGCTCACAGGGCGAGTTCACGATGTCTGCTATTTATTGTAGGCATTATTGGTGAAAATGAGGACGGTACAATACAAGTCAACGTAGAATGGGCCGGATTCGAGCGCGATGAAAGCACGTGGGAGCCGTTGAAAAAGATATGGGAAGATGCTCCGCAATTCGGAAAGTTGGATTTGCGTAAGATGGATCTGGACAAGGAGTTCGTGCTAGGTTGCAGTCGGAATATGGTATCGATCTGTAGTCTATTTGACGGCTTCATTTGTGAAGTATTCTCATTAATAACTTAAGGAGGAAAAACGTTGTAAAGGCTTGTTATCATATTATTAGGAGGCTGAGGCCGTTATCATTCAATGGTATGACGCAATGTCAGTGTCGATTTATTTGTTGTCAAGCTTCCGTAGAAATCTGCTTTGAAGAAGTACGGTGCTTTGGAGGGTGCTGTGGAATGAAGTAGGACACAGAACTATTGAGGCAGTTTACAGGGTCGTATATGATTGGTTCTAGGAGGACGTAAGTGTCGGTTCACGTGGTGCATGAAGAGGAATGCAGCGTGACTTCGACGATGACCATGTAGTCTATGTATGTGCGGATGCCTCGTCGAGGTCAGTCCTGAATAATGAAGAACTGTGTGGTGTGTTTACCAACGGTCTTGCATCTATGAGGTTAGAAAACTAACAGAAGGGCTCCTAAGAGCACAAACAAACTCCTTCGATTGAACGAGGGTTCCACAGGTCGAATCCAAATTTGGGGTGGCGTGTGCCAAAGGGAACAGACGCTGTGGTTCCCTGCTGGGGAAGGTGTGTACACGGCGGGGTATGGTTTTTCGTCCAGCATCTTTGTTGGTCGCAAGCCCCTCTTTTGTTGGCTGGTGCTTCCCTCTTGTCTGCCTCAAGGGGCATGGTACCGGTACAACTGAAGTACCGTTAACGAACTCCTTCTTCTTCTTGTTCGGTTGGTTGGAGGTGCGGGATGTGTACTGCTGTGTGCTTGGTTGAGTGAGTGAGTGCATTCGATGTACGGATTACCGTAGAAAAAGATTACGAAGTGTCTATTTCTACTGCGCAAACCACGACGGTACGATATACATACATGAAATGGCGCCCCAACTGGTACCTGCCAACCGCGTTACATACCGTTCGACACGTGGCCCAGAGGGTACCCGTGCCTAGCGGAAGCACGCAAAATTTCGTCCGCAGGTTTTATATCGTTGATATCGCACCGGGTGCGATAACACCGATACCGGTGCGGAAATACAATTAAATCATGCCGTTCTTGATATTTTTGCTCCCCCCGGTATCCCACCCCCGAGCATACCATCGGGGTTGGGTTTTCGTCGATTGGCAACGACGTTGTAAAACATGCCGCCCCGCCCCGCCCTTCCCCCCGATG